AAAAAAAACAGCCTGAGCACAAAGGCTGTCATTTTTTCGAAACTCGGAACAATAATTGTCGAACTAATTTTGCAGTGTCATTTGACAGTTTTAGTGGCAGTGACTTTTTAAATACAACAAAACCAAGTTTAGTTTGGTCAACAAGGAAGAATGTGTTTAAAAAAACAATCCAACCTAAATTTATGCATTTTATCTACTTTATCAAAACAATTTTAACTGGTCCTAAGACCTAAAACAGCTTGGATCAAAACGTGATTAATTTCTAATCAGATGAGTCGAATATTATGGAAAATGTTTGATGAGAAGAAATATTTTGAATATAATATTGAAGTTTTTTCAGGGCCAATTGCACATGAATTTTAAGATAAACTGTGTCTTGAGGTCAAAAAAATCTCTCAACACAATTGCAACCAAGTTTTTTTGTTTTTGAATCAAGTTAAATTTATTAAAGATTAATTACCTATTGAAACGTTGTGTTTAACGCTGTATATAAGTTGTTACATAATTGTCACTTTTTCTTATTAATTGAACATCAAATGTAATTTTTTATCTCGGTTTTTAAAAATAGTGAAACTGTTCAAAATGTTTCTTGAACGGTTTCATTTGTTTGCTACATCATTCTGCATTCGTATGTTTGTATCTTTGGATATTAAACCGGTACCATGTAGAAATATCTATCTGATAAATTAGAGCTAGATCGAGGTATATAAGCGATAGCGATTGAGAAATGGCATTGTGGCGCCACTATCATAATAATGGTACCCATAGGCGTGACAGGCACGTGGCATCTTCAAAGAGACAAATTCGCCAATTAGAGCCCAACTTTGGGAGCGGGTTCGAAAAAATTAACCTCACAACCATTTCAAAGTGCAAGCATCCGATAGCGCAAATAACCGATAGCCCAAAAATCGGATTGTTTGAAATCTTCGGATTGTTTGAAGTTTTCTGCTTTCTCGCTGTACTTGGTAACAATATTACTATAAGTCGATCATTAATTTGAAATAGGTTCGGCACCTAATTTTTAAAATTCCTATGGTGGAAGCAAGCTAAGAAAATTACGTGACTATAGGAGATTTGGTCATTCAAAACTAATAGGTACCTAACTTTAAGGTACCTAAAATTGACGAAAATTCAGTTTGAAAATTTTTTACCACAGATTTGAAATCATAATTAAAAAAATGGATTAGCGGAGATATCTGAGTTAGGAATTGCTGAAAATAGGCATAAGCATTTTGGCGATCACATATAGCTACGTTGTCTTCATCGGCACATGAGATAATACTCAAGCTTATACCCACGGGACAAGAAAAAACAGAAATTGGTATGTCTAATTGGCGCCTCCAGTTTTTGACTGTTTTCTTTCTTGAACAGGCACTGAATTGTCATGCCGTTCGGAAAACTGTTCCCAACCAAGAACACGTTACAAAAAATCGAGTTTCACAGAAGTCGAGTCGCCAATAAAAGCGGAAATAAACAACCAGAAATGTACACGAACTGACTTTGAACTTTGATTTCATTACTCTGTTTTACAGGTCAAAGAGCCAAAAATTCATTCTGGAAGCTTTAAATTTTTAGAATTTTAATTTCTTTTTCGGAAATCTACTTCTGCAAACAGAATTCAACAATTTGACAATATCTCATTTGATTTTTAAAAAATTGTTGTCGCGAATCATGCTCAACTAATCCAGATTGAACAACATAATCTATTTTCGTGGCACATACTTCATTAATTGATTTAACCTTTATTTTCGTCAGACGAAGATACAAGATTTATTGAGATTAAGCAGTCTGTTTATAAACATATCCATAGACTTTTTCAATTATTTTTGATTTATCGAAACCGATAACTACCGATAACTACCGAAATGAAACTTAATCGAGTGTTTTCCATTAACTGTTGAAAGTGATATCATAACTTTTGATATAGGCATCAAAAATTGTCTATGGTGGGCTAAAAGTGGCGATAGGCCAAGAACACGGTGGGCTAGCAAACAGAAAACAAGAGTACCATTCCAAGAAGCCGAAAATTAGTTTCGTTACACAACATAACAACAGATTGTCACTATTGTTATGCAAATGTTACGTAATTTTGATGCATATTACATTATTTTGATGTAATTTTGGCTTCAAGACAATGGTGGTTTGAAGATATGGCGGTTTCGTGAACATCCGCTACTAAAACTTTCGCTTTTTAGGTTTTTGCTGATTCAATTTGGGAAAGCAATTTTTCGATTTTTCAATAAAAACTTAAAAACTGGTTTGCTTTATGCTTAAGTGTCAAAATTTGTTTTAAAAAAATGACTAGTGCATGGATTGCTTGATTGTTCAAAACTTAAAAAACCAAAAAAGCGAGTTAAGTATTTGAAAAAGAGAAAAACAATAATTGTAAAGTGAGTTTTTGATAAAATTTTCTTCTTTTTACGTGTCAAAAGGAGAACTTCTCTGTGTTCTCAGATACTGCTGAAGTTTTTATCGAAAGTTCTTCAGATACAAAGGTTGTACTAAAAAACTTTTTAAGAAATGTTTGTTGATGTAAATAAAAAAAAATTACCTTCAGGTAACAATGAGCGAACGTTTTTTTTTTCAAATATCGGATATGCTTCCAAAAAAAACAACTTGTAGCACGAAAAATGACCGAGCAGTTCATTTTAATGAACTGAGGTCAATTTATAACTGCGAGTACACATAAAAACAAAACGTTAAAAGGTTACATGGTGCTTGATATGTTAAGAAATACATTTGCGGTGTGTAAGCGACAAAAATGTGTGCATATTAGCCTGCAATAATTGCTTCAATTAGATGTTCTTCTAAATTAAATTTTAAGGTCATTCGATTGAGCAAAATAGTATAAATTTGTTTTTCACTAACTTAAATTTTGGCAAAGTGTATGCAATTCAAAAATGCAAAATTGTATAGACAAATCTTGAAAAAATTAGCAAAAAACAGTAGTTCTCTTACATGAGCCTGCTCATTGACACATATGGTAAAAAAGTGTTCCCGGACATTTACAAACTAAGATGAGACGAAAATAATCAAGGCAGCTACGCTACTTATCAACGATTAGTTGAACAAGCTACACGGTTTTGAAAGAAAACCTCATTTTGTTGATTGTATCTGACGATTTTTACTTTTATAATTTTCTCTACAAAAATTCTGACTTAAAATAAGGGGGGTTAGAAAATTAGACGATAAGCAAGTTAGATGGATCCAATAAAACGGAATTTAGACGTCAAATTGTTTTTGCAAAACTAGCATTTTAGACAGAAAGCAAAGGGCTAACAAAACTTATTCCTTGAAACAGGTTTTCAAAATTACAAAATTAGTATCGGATCCCATTGCATATCAAAACATTTATGACAATTGATTTATAAAACGTTAATCTCAATAATATAAAACATTTTGAAATGCATAAGTAATGCAATTGCGGCATGTGAAAATTGCGGAATGGGAAAATTGCGGCATGTGAAAAGCTGATTTGCAATCAAGAAAGCGCGAACGAAAGTTATTTGTAGTCAGTAAACAAATTTCAGACACGAACAAAACAATTACGTCTAATTTCCCATTTTTGTAATTTTGCATCGACATATAAATTAGTTTTTTTTTGGTCACGTCTAATTTTGTTTTTGTCTAATTTCCTAGGGCCCGTGTAAAATAGTAGTATGAAGCCATTGGCGCAATCAGGAATGAGTTTGTTTTCTTACATTTGGTAGTAAAACTCAAACAATAAGGATGCAAGTCACATCAAACTAAGCAATTATAATAATCGCGCATGCTAAGTGGCACACGTGCAAGACCTTTAGACCTTTTAAACTAACTAATTAAAACACACAGTCTGATATAACCAATAGGGAGCTCTAAATTTCTATGTTGAGAGCTTGACTTTGCTTCCAATTATTTGAATGATTAATGTTTAAGAAACTCAGGGGTGATTTTTCAAAAATTTAGTACAAAATTCGTGTGAAAAACTAAAAGTTAACTGCAATTAAGCTAAAATTAAAAAAATTCAAAAAAACTATCTGAATATTATCTTCTGAAAATTTTCCTTGAATCTAATAAAATTTTCGTTTGCAACATTTTCTGTCACAGATTTTGTTTTTGCATCAAAAGTGTTTTGCTTAATACTTTTAGATACACATCCATAAATCAAGATAATTTATGAGAAATCATTATGAACTCTTTAAAAAAATTTAGTTCAATCAGCAAACATAGAAAACCCAAAAAAAACAAGACTGCTCGTATCAGGGCGAAGCCCCGAATGTTCCGACTGACTGCCTTTTAAGGTTTATGGAGCAGCAGTAATAAGATAAAAAATTAAAAGAAACAAAATGAAATGAAAATTTTTTTTTCTAAAAGTTGAAATCATCCCCCCCACGCCATATTAAGTACAAAAAGATAAATTTCGTTCCTTGTAACAAATCAATTATGGCACATATGCTTCGTTCAACAAATTTGGAACGATTTATAAGACGGATTAAATCTCCGCTTACGCGTTAATAGCGCGAATTATATCGCGCGTTAATTGTCCCAAATTGGTCAAAATGGCCAAAATGGCAATCTTTAAACCCTCATAACTTTGCGAAAAATGATCACAGGTGAAATATCTTTTCAAATTTAAGCTCAGGATAACAATACCTTTTGAATGATATAAAAAATTCCGTCAAAAATGGCTAGTTAAAAAGTCGAAATTTGTCTGAAGAAAAAAAAACCACCCCGAGCACAAATATTCCGTTACTTTCGTATCGAAAGTCGGAGCAACAAGGTAACATATTTTTCAGAGAACGTAAAATTTTTAATGGCGTTGAAAGTTAGAGTTTAACGAAAAAATAAAATTGGGAGCTCATCAAGCCGCTCAGAAAACAAATTCCAAGAAGGTGAAAGGGCGCAGGGTATGACCCAGAAACCACAACTGCAGTTAATCTTCTGAAAAGTTTGCAACAGTTATAAATTGTTTTCAGGTTTTTTTTTTACTTTTCACGGTGAAATATATATTTTTTGCTCACCTGATATCTCATGTGGGTTGAGCATTGTGTGCGATGACCGATTGCGATTCGAATTATGTTCTCGTTTCTCTCAATATCCCACTTGACGTAATCCTCCACTTTTTCTAGAATAATCTGCAGTTTTATTACATAAGTCTTCTTCATGTCTACATCTTTGCGCACATTGTTAGAAGTGGGGTCACGTAAGGTCATGTTGAGGATTCTCTCTTTGCCCTTGAGCAGTTCTTGGAAGCCCGACCCGAGGCCGTAGAACTCGGACTCGACCTTCAATTTCTCGACTGTTGTCAGATCTCTGACCCCGGCTAAGGAAGCTGTCCGAAGGTAAAAGAGAATGTGTTCGAAACATTCGGGATCGCGATCGAAAAAGAGGTCCAGTTTTTCCAAGGGAGCCGCGATTGAAGAAGGGGAAGATGACGAGGATGAGGTTGTTGCGTAACTGTTATACCCACTTGAGCCATTTGTGGTTATAACACTATTAGTATTGTTATTATTACAAAATTGGGTTCCCCCGTTTTGCTGAAAACCACTTTGTTGACCCCCAAAATTAGGTGTAAATTTGGAGGGTTCGTCCTTGGGAAATGAGGGTTGATTGTTAGACGCGTATTGTTCCTGAATAAGCTGGTGAAATTTGCTAGATGATCCGCCGGTTGCTAGAAGTGTGTCTTTGTATGTCTCAAAAATTCTCCCGCTAACGTTGACCCGAATTATATTGTTTGGGTTGTGGCTCATTTTGGGCAAAATTTGGACAACGAACTTAGTTGTCACTGAGTACTGACAAGTTATTTTCTAATGGGTCAGAAAATGGAGCCGAGTTAAGGTCGAATATGAGAGCGAAGAGAAAAGTATGTTAAGTAAATTTAATTATAGGTTGGAAATTGAATCGATAAAGTAAAGAAATTATAGGAATCAAGCTGAATAAGGCCAAGATTATAATGAAGAAAGAAAGAATAACTTAGAAAAAATCCGAGGCTAAAATCTATCTTCCGATCTGAAAAGATTAAAAGATTCTGGTATAGGAAGAAATAATCTCATAGTTTTCGATGGCCCTGCCTCTAGTTAAATGTCGTTTAAGTCCAGGTTATATAATCCTGCATTCTAAAACAAAATAAAAGACATTTGAGGACATATTAGATACACGAACGAAACGTTTTTTATTCTTTCATGTTGCAAAAACTGAAAATTGATGCAGAAAAATGATAATTAAATTTTGAAAAAATTGTCGCCGTTTACAGGATGGTTTAAAGTTACTCAGTCAGACTAAATTATCATTTGAAGCTTCTTAAGCCGGAAAACAAATGTGGAAAGGCGATGATAAACGGTTGTAAAAGACTAAACCAAAATAGCCATTAGACATTTCAGCTTTGAATAGCGGGGAGGGGGAGGGGGATGGGGGGATGGGTGTGTGGGGGGACGGGTCTGGAGAATCTCTGCCTGAATTGAACTTGGCTTACCACTAATCAATGGTGAAATGTGCTGGTGGGGCAGTAGTCAAAATTAAGAAGCTTTTTCCATTTGCAAGCGAAAGGGAATTGTTTGAAAATTGAGCTGATGTTGAGCATATCTTGGCAAGAAGAGTAAAGACGCACTGAGGCTGATGCACAAGCAAGGGTATGGAAAAGAGAAGAAAAAAACAGTAAGTGAATTCACTATAAAGCTTTACTCGCATCAGGGGTATCAGTACGTAGGGAAATAGTGTGCAGTCACGCAGCTTAAATACATTGAACGTTTGATTTTTTCCTTCTTTCCAACAGCGCGTCTATTCAATGCTGTCTTAAATCCTTTTAATACCATTTCAGCGTGCGCTCAATTTTGATTCATTATATGCCGAACTGATCCTGCGACAAGCAGTTATATAAGTCTCCGCCCTCATTTCAGGTGGGCTGAGTCTGCAAGGACAAGTTTTGGGCTCTCAAAGGGAAAATAAATTTTATTTTATCTCAAAATGTACCTTTCCTTTTAATGACTTCACTTTTTCAGCGAATCTTATGAAGATTAATGCTCTTTGACACATTAATTATTCATTCATGACCAAGAAAATTTTATCGCTAGATGCCATTTAAATAGGATGATTTTATGCGCTTCGAGAAAATAATTTATGGCTGTGTTTGAAATCATAAAAACCGAATTTAGTTCGAGTTCGACTGGCCTTTTTTGTCGTGTAATTGTTCCGACTTTCAAAAAGAGTGCAGAACATTTATGCTAGGGGTGTTTTTTTATTCAGTCTATTATCGAATTCTTAAGTAAGCATTTTTGACAGAAACTTTTTATACCATCAAATATAATATATACACCTCAAATTAAAAAAGATGTTTCACCTGAGATCATTTTTTCTTAAAGTTATGGTAGTTTAAAATTGCTGGTGAGGCAATTTGGGATAATTAACAAACGATATAGTGCGTTCTTATAATACGCGTAAGTGGCAGATTGATGCATTTCAAATTGAATTGATGCAATCATTTGGTCGCTTAGACAATTAGCCGTACGTTTAACAGATGCTATGGTGGTCGAATGAAGGCAGATCTTCGCGGTCGCGCCAACGTGTTGCGAGCTTGCCAACAGAGGGTAGGACTCAATATAACAATTAGAGCCCGTTATCGCCGAGAAACGGCGACGCGCACGCAGCTCGCCTACCGACGACTTCAAACAGAGAGTCGGCTAAGCTAGAATCGTATAATTGAACTACGTCTGGTTTTTGAAATTCTAACGTCATATTATTACATAAATTTTGTATAAGTTCTGATGTTTGACAAAGCGGATATTTGACATATCGGATGTTTGCCTTATACCCCATTTGCTCCTATTATTAAGATATAAGACGCTCAACACATCCTTTTGTTTTGAGCAGACTTCATTTGAAAGTGACTATTTGACGGTGTTCATTGATTCGAGAGTGATGCATTCAAGCAAATGACGTTGAAAAGCAGTGGTTGAATCATTTTTAACCTTCTAGCAAGTCTTTTTATTGTTCCAACTTTCTTGTTCTTGGGTGGTTTTTTTTTCTTCAAACAAATTTCGACTTTTTAATTAGCCAGTTTTGACAAAAAAATTTTTTATCACTCAAAAAGTATTGCTGTCTGAAGCTTAAACTTGAAATAATTTTTCAATTGTGGTTACTTTTCGCAAAAAATGAGGGTTTTAAGATTGTCAGTTTCATCAATTTGGGACATTTAACGCGTGATATATTTCGCGCCATTAACGCGTAAGCAAGGGTTTAATCCGTCTTAGAAATCGTCCCAAATTGGTTGAAGAAAGCTTATTTGCCATAATTGATTTGTTAATAGGAGCGCAACCAATCACTTTGTAAATTGCATGGCAGGCGAGAGGGCTGATATTCACAAAACAATTCAAATTTTAAACTTTTTTTTTTCATTTCGTTTTATTGCATTCGACTTTTTATGTTATTACTGCTCCATAGACTTTGATCGGAACATTCAGAGCTTTGTCTTGATGCGAGCAGTCTTGTTTTCTTTGCTCGCAAGCTCTTAAAGAATTTTGAAGATTCACGTAATGAGAAAAAAAATTAGACAAGAGTGCTCGTATATGTTTCGACTGAATTTTGAGGCTGATAAAACACTTCAGTCAAGTCAAAAATTGATAAAATTATCGAAAAGAAAAAAAGTACAAAGATTTTTCTTTAGCGTCACATATTCTAGCAGATGACTTGCCTCAATTACAAATAGAAAAGAAATTTACGCGCAGTGACAGATTTAAGGGGGATGCGATGGGGGGGGGGGGGGGTATGCGATTGAAGGATTCGACCCCATACCGACATTTTTACTACTTTCAGATATCCATTTATGACTGACCGACCCTAAAACTTTTCTAAAGGTGCATTTGGCGTCAATATATGCTAATGTTGAGGGGGAGTGCGCGACAAATAAACGCATAGTGACCAAAGTTACAATTTTCAAACTCCAATGTTGTTACAAAACTAATCAAAGATGAATTTGTTCACCATTGAGCTCCAGACACCATCTATGAGATAGTTTTTTAAAAAAAAATCTGCTAAAAAGGTTTAGTTAGGAAGAAAAAACTTGACTGAATAAAAAATTAACTCTAGCATAAATTGTCTGTAATTGCTTCAAAAGTCGGAACAATAAGTCCATCGAAAGGCTTTCATACTTTTCAATTTTATTTACAACTTTCTATTCAGCCAACTATAGAGCATTAGACCTAGTTCAGACCTTTGAGAACCTGGTTCTATCAATTTATTGGTTTGAAATAACTTCTAAGCCAGGCCAATTTGCTTAATTTAGAAATATAATAACACATGAAAAGCTGGCACATAGAAGAGGGGAGCCCTGAATGTTCGTAGAAACAATTAAAGAGTCTGAGTTTGTTTCCGGAGGCAAAAACAAATGAAAAAAAAAAACATTTTTTCAATTTTTTTTCTAAATGTTCCACCCCAACCACACGCAGTGTCAAATACAAAAAAATCAATTTTCAGGTGAATTAGCGCAATATTTGGATGAATAAGCAAGTATTAATTCAAATTGAATTAATTTCAGAGCCGGGTTAATTTGCCACGGGTTAATCAAAAACTGAATTTTCTATGAGAATTAATTATCCAAATTTGGTCTATGGACAATTTTCACAACCCGAATGACTTTACAAAACTAGTGCCAAAAGTGAAAAAATTTTGTGCTCAGGGCATTTATTTCTTTTAGACTACTTTGAAATTTCCCTGCAGAACCAACCCACTTCGAGTAGAATTATTTCGTCACATTCTTCCAACAATAAAACGCTTGCTATTAATTAGAATTGACAAATTTTCTTACAACTTGATATAAAAGGTCACAGGAGGAAAATTTTTTCAAGTTTGCATTTCATCAAAAGCCTTATTACTAATGTAGTATAAAAATTCATGTAGCATATTTCGACCAGGGGCAGATTTAATCGGGTTCAGTAAAATACTCGTCCCTTCATCTTAATGAGTGAGCACCAGAGGGCAGGTGTAAAAAACAACTTTGCGAACGCCGTATAAGAAGGTTGCTAGTGGCTACAACTCCCTTACTATTATGAAAAGATCATTTATAGCACAAAAATGAGAAACAAATCTGTGCCTCTCTTCAGTCAATACGTGTTGGTATTTTGCCCCCTGATTTGGTTATGATAAATCACTTGAAATGATAAACACTTTTTCTGCGACTCAAGACAGTTTTTTTTGGGTCTATAAAACTTTCACGTGGTACCACTATTGCAGCCGAAATTGGTCAGGCTGTGGTAGACCTGAAGCTAGAGGTCAAGTAAGGGCAATAAAATAAATGAAGTCACCAACAGGTCGCCAGCAAAAAAAACGGCTTCAACCGCCAAGTAGTCTGGAGAAAAATATAAAGATTAGTTTGGATAAAAATCAACCAGCTTAGTGCTAAAAAAATTAACACTATGCTGTTTTGAATTAAAAACTGAGATTTTGAAACGGATCAAACGGAAACTTTGTTATTTAGAGCTGTTCTTGTTTTGTTTAAGAGAATCAAAATGAATAGAAAATCAATGACCCTTCGAGACAATTATATTTAAAGAAAATGACCGAGGCAAGTAATTCGCTCAAGTTAGAACTTCATGAAAACAAAGCCTCTTTGACTTTCTTGAAGATTTGGTACTCTGATTTTCAGACCTCTAAATTTTCTTGCTGTGAAACTCTTAGAAGAAAGTTAAGGGTGTTGGAGTGTGTAGCAATTTAGCTGGTGTTTGTTTTTAAGACACTGAAGGGGCGCATTTTGTTCTAATATTTCGTCAGAGCAAAGACATTCTAGTGGCAATTAGACCTCTGAATGCTTTTCAAATACATTTTAACAAATAAAAGCTTAAAATTGAAGTCTAAAACCTTCAGACTGAAGTTGCTTAAATCAAAAGTATCTTTCAGGACCGTCTTTGCCAGAATTATCTCAACTTGGCTGCGTTAAGTCTTTTCTTAACCTACCGGTTGTTTATGTGGAAGTTCAAGATCATATAATTAAACAAAACCATCTGGGTCTGTGAACAATAAAATTTCAACCGTCTTAGCCCTTAAGGAGCCCGATAAATTGAGTTCTACCCGGCTTAAAATGTAATCCCAGCTTCAACACGTGAACGAAAGGACAGCGACAATGATT